TTTATTTATTTTTTTTACCTCAGTTGCTCTTTAAAGGAATGTTTTTACTGTCGAAAAGCACAGCAGACTGTTGTGCTTTCGATGCAGAAAGCTAGGCTTGTTCGACGATATTGCTCTCTTAAGCGAGATTCCGGAGAGTTAATGCGACCCTTTAGTGGAAACGAAAGGAGGAACGCCAATTTGGCGCTAATCCGCGAGAGCCTTCTAAGATTCGAATACCAGTGATTTACCGAGCCCTCGAAGGGGTCAGTAAATAGTACAAGGTATACAGCACGTCATGTATTACATAGGCGTATGTGCACATGGCATAAATCTGCTATATTCGAGAGCCTCCTTTCTTTGACAAGATTATCGGCGCGCGCCAAAGAAGGGGCGCCATTGGACAAAAAGAGTTCACGTGGCCCGGCACAAATGCTCGAGAACATTCGAAGCTCTCTTGCAAATTAAGCTAACCTCTTTCCATCGACCCCATCAATTTTTTACGCTTTGATCCAGTTACTTACATTCTCCGGGTTGTTCGAGCGAGTCGTCGGACATTGTCAAAGAAAGTAATTGAAATATACTCGAAGGAACAAGGGTGTCTTTCGCGCATTCATATTTTACATTTCGCGAAGAACCGCGCTAGAATACTGCGAAATATGCGAAATTTCATTATCGAATATTGCGACCAGGGTCGAATTAAGGTTTTCGAGGCACGGGGCTGACGGACGATTAGATCTTCTCTTGATTAGGAAAGTGGAGGATGTCTGAAGCTGAGAACAATTTTAAAACAGAAAAGAAACCTTTAAAAGTGCCCGTGAAAAACAATTCTTAGGTATTACTAACGGGTAATAAGATTGAAAACATATTTAACTGCCTCTAGATATATTAAAATTATATAAAAATATCGAATGACTAAGAGATTTATTCGGAAACGTTAATAAATCGGAAATAATTGTTTCGTCGTGTGTTTGTGAAAATTTATTTTAATATTTTAAGAAATAAGTCTGCATCGTGACGTCCTCCATGAAACTTTAATGCATCGTGAACCTAGCACGAGTATTTATGGCGCGTTCAGGCGCGTTACCTTTGATATTTGAGAAACTGTTTATAAATAAATCTCTACACAGTGTTTTATCAATATCCTGTGTTTATATTTCTAGTGTTTTATATTCTAACCCCGAGAGGTTGTTTCGTTTCATTTTAGCCAGCGGTTGAAATTGATTAGTAATTCTTGTTGGTAAAATAAATTAGCTGTATTAGATTTATTAATATATAGCGGAACGGACGGATGCTTTAAAGTTCAAAGGAAACTTTTCGCATTGTTTACAACCCTTGAGCGCGGCGGTACGCTCGAGTGGAAAATGTTTTTGGCGCATTTCGACCTGACCTCGACACGTTTAGTCATCCTTTGCTTTTTGTCTCGTTGCTAAGCGTGTAAGTGAACGCGTGAAACGCGGTGAGACTGACGTGTAATGTCGACATCTTTCACCGTACATAGTGGATGTTTTAACTTGTGTTCTCCTCGCTTTCATATCCAGCCGTGTCGTTACTTTTATACTCGTTGCAACACTGCTACCCAAGCAATTTTAATTTAATGGATGAAATTTTATTTTTTTAGTGCCAAGAGCAATTACTCACGAACTTATTAACAATATTCGTACAAATATCAACTTAAATCTAGTAACACGTATTAGGGTGAACCACCCAACTCTACCATCTCAAATAGCCCCCAAATAAACTATTTACATAAAATTTTAATTTCAGATTTTTTATCTAGATAGGATTCTCGAATTTTAAGGAGGCTGTAAAAATAAATTCACTGTCAAATCGTGAGTTTGATAGCTTCCAATTGTCTAAAAACGAAGCTTCGTGAACAATTTCGGGGGTTTGGTCTGGCAGTCGAAGTGTTCATAGAATTTAAAGAGTCTGATGATATTAAACGGTCACTATTATCTTGGACGATGATGCAGTACCGCGTGAAACGAGGTTTCCTTGCGCAAGAAAAGTTCAGGTTACGTAATGTTTGCGACGTTCCGCCTCGTTTCGCTTAATTAACCGATATAACGGGCACACTGGCGATATCTTGGCTAAGTTAAGGGACGGTGGCGCCTCTTAAAAACCACGATCGCCTGCACCTGTGTCGCCTTTGTGAACGTGACAATCCCAGAGCCCTCAAGTGATGTTCATGGGACATCATGATCCGTAGGGTCGGTTTAATGGTTGTCCCGGTGGAGCGGTCACGTGGCCCGTGTGTACATATATCTCTATATAAGTGCGGTATGGGGTGACACGCCATTAATAGCATAGTGAATGGGTTGAATGACGTCACAATGAATGCTTTACAGGAAGGCTTTACAATCGACTTAATTATAAAGCGTTGTCTTGGCGGGAAGGGAAAAATGTTCTTCGATCAATGGAACAAGAAGTCCCTTTTTATCTAAAAAGACACTCTTTATATACGCCCGGGACGAATGGCGCTTATATAGGGTGGATTCCCACAAAGCAATCCATTATCTTTAAATCTCTTCGAGGGTACGCGAAAAAGATCATCGATCGCTCGATGGAAATTCTCGTCCTTTCGTTCGTTGATTACTTCGCGCGGTAAATATGAAAATTTGATATCGAAGTTTAACGAAAAATTTTGTTCAATTCATCGCGACACTCCAGAGTCGAGAAAACGTTCAAAGTAATACGGTGGATTCTTCCATCGAAACATATTTAGATATCGAAGAAATACTACTGGAGAGTGATGCGACAAATTTAAAGCTCGATTTGCTTAAAAATTGAAAACGTTTCTATCGGATAGACTAATGCACACCCTAAACAGAAACGGCATAAAAGCTTTGGAACATCGCCGGCTGAAACGTACGAGAATGTATATTGAGAAATGAAATTTTAAAACTCGAAGTGGTACGATCCTCGTAAAATTCGAATCCCAATTTTCTATCGTATTACTCGATCGTTAATTACACCGATGTATTTGAAGATACTCGAACGAGTGGAAGTACGTTGGCGATCGTTCCATAAAGTGAAACGGGATCCCGAAAGGGAGGATACGGTACAAAACGTCAGAAAAAAGGGGACTGGGGGAGACAGAGCGCGTTGTAGTTGTCCCCGTGGGATGGTTACGTGGCCTATATACCATGGGAAGCCACGGGGGTTCAGCAAGGCAACGGGTACCACATGACGGTGTCCCATAAATAGTCGGCCGGACGCCGGAATTTCCATTATATCGCGTTCCCGTACGTAGTCTCCATAAACAATATCATCGAACTCCGTGCCGAAATGGCTTTCCCCATTAGGTGTTTGCGTGCAATATTTATTACGGACACGGTCATTGTGATACGTGGGATTTATGGGGGCTTTGTGCCGAAAATCTGCAGCTCGCCCCGTCAGGGAGAGAAAGGGGGGTTGGGTGGAGCCAGGCAAGGAGTAAACGAACGGAAGGAGAGGCGGCGAGGAAAGGGGTCGAAAGTTCGAAAATAGTTGAACAATTCGGGCGTTCCCGGGAGCCACGTTCGCCGTTAACGCCGTAGAACTCTCGATCCTCGAGTTTCCTCGTACATTCCGTTGTGTTCACTCGATATTTCACGTCGAGTTGGCGCATCGGCGCTCGTTGCACCGATAGTTGTAATCGCGTTCAATTAACAGGCCGAGCGGAGTGCGCGTAATAGGGTAGTATGTTTCAAAGTCGGGCCGGATATAGGCGGAACTATCGTTAACGTGAACTACACGCATCGTCGCGCGAACCTTTACCACATACAGAGCGTTTAAAAATATACTGCGGGTTGTTGAGATCGAACAGATGAAAAACGTTTGCTGTGAACTTGCGTTTGAAAATGATTTGTTAAAATAACTAATTCTCAGGTTGAAATGTTAAAGGAAATAAATTTTAGACAAATTTTAATTTATGCAGTACAATTGTGTAAAGTAAAAGTTTTGGTCTCGTAAAAAATTGTACGCTTTTGGTTTGGCTTTTACTGCAGTTGTAAGGTTTCCATTCGTCAAATATTTCATCTGTATTGGAACTAATAATAAATTCATTTTGAGCACAATAAATATCTTTTCTCTAAAGTATTTCTGGACGTAGTATAAGGTCCCACCATTTTTGGGGAATCCGTATAGCGTATGAGGGTTCTATAAGTTATTTTACATAAAAAATAATCGGTAGTTGATTTCACCCCCCGCGTGGCGCACCATATGGCGCGACTGTAAAATCGCAACTTACCGTGACACTCGTATTCGCCATTTGCCTGAGCAGTTATCCGCAAAATATGTACTTCGAAATTTTTTCATGATCGTGAAACACTTTTCAGGCGTCTAAAAAATTTGTAATAATCTTCGTGCAGTTGTCGAGTCTCTGTATTCCATATAGATTTATCGAGCTGCCATTCCGCGTTGGATATTTTATTTATTTACCGAAACGGGTCTTTTATAACAGTTTCTATACACAGCAGAATGGCGAAGTGTTTCGAGATGCCGTTCCGACCGCAGGTGTTGATGCTCGGCTCAGTTGGTTGTTACTCGAATATTTCATGAGCTCAACGAATAAGTACTGCGTCACCCTCCTTGAATGATTCATTCTCTAAGGGTGGTTTTCATACGTACGCTGCACAACCGTGGTTTCCAAAATTATATATTTTCGTACACAGTTTTATAACACGCGTTTATTGTTGCCGACAACTTGGTATCCTAATTTATATTTTTATAGTTAGAAATTATCGTCGCTCAAATTAGACATGGAAAATTTGCTTATTTCGATATTACAATATTCTAATAATTACATATAATTTAGAGATTGCTTAAGAAAGATATGTCAGATTTAATTTAAATATCCGTTGCACAGTTACGTAATGTTTTAAGATTATTAAAGTAAAACGGAGACATTATAGGCGCGATTAGATTAGAACTTGATCAAAGTAGTTGCTCTGCTCGATGCACGTAAATTGGATAGAAGTCAATTATGGGGTCACGTCTCCGTCACAGGACACGGTCTTGCCTGGAAGTTTATGGTTTGTTTAACAGTTCCCATGCTCCACCAGTCGAATTTCTCCTTGATTAATGTATGTTCCGAGTTTGGACTTAAGCTCCGTCAAGATCGGCGAGGGCAGGCTCCTCTCGCGGGACCAAATCATAGAGAACTTGTATTCCGGATGGCGAAGCGTCGTACCCTCTGAGCAAACTGCCATAGCGAGGACGGTTCTGTAGTTTGCGAATACTATGACGTGCTTGAAAGGTCCTGGGAATATAAAATCGTGGAGTTAGTCAACTACGTGCTCGCCCCGACTGTTGGCTCGTCGAGATATCGTCCCTTTTCTACAAGGATAAGGAAGAACGTTCCACGCCGTGGCGTTACAGATTACGAAACGAACTTTGACCGATGAAAACATTTGTCTCCGCGCGTAGGGAGATATCTAATACACGGCGGTGGAAATATTACCGTCACTGTCGGTGACAACTGGCGTTCGAAATAATTTATTCGACTAGAAACCGTTTCGTACGAAATATTATTATTATTCAACAAGATTCGTACCGCAAATTTTCACTTTTTTCTTCTGCAATAGGGTGAAATTGATACAAAGACGGATTTAATAATCTATAAAAGTAACTTTGAAATAACTCGTAAAATATGTTCATAGAATGTCTTGTAGAAACTTTTATAGAAAATGAAAGGTCACACATGTAACAACTTTAGTTGGAAACAACATTGCTAAAAAGCTAGTGAAATTAACGTTTCTTTTGAATTTAATTTTTTCTACTCGAAGATCATTATACTTGCCTAGTTTCCGTTTCGATCCCTGCAATTGCCACGTTCCAGTGACTTCGTTTCCATCCACGGTCCCGTCCACGTAGAAAGTGATCGGAATATTGTTTTTATGGCTAATCGCCGTGTATTTGATGGCAAACGCGTTCTCCGACGTCTTCTTCACGAGGAATCGACCGCATCTGCTCAAACTTTGGTTTATCGGGGTCCCAGCTGCGAAATACCACTCCCCTGAAAACTGAAGTTCGATTTAAAAAAATTTGTCTTCTAAAAGAAGTAGATGATTTTGCCCTGGAAAGTCGAATTCTATTCGTAGAGGAAATAGGAAGAATTCTGTTATGATTTTGTTAAAATGGCAATTTCGCGGAAGAGTCAGATTCGATTGTATTTCACGTAGAAATGCCACCCCCTCCTCATTTGCAATCGGTGTAAATTCAAATTAGGATCGTGCGTATGCACGCAAGTTTGTAAATTATTGTACACGTTTGCGCGTACCGATCCAATATTGACAACCTTCGATGCAAGCGTGCAAACGATGCGTTCAACTAGCACGCCTACGAATTTACGGGTGCCCGGCGTAGCTGCATCAGGATCATAGATATCGCGTAACAGGCAACGTTACGTTACGCGTTTCCATTTGGCACGATTCGAATCAACGAATCTTCCGGACGATCGTTGGGGACGAATCTATACGACTGTTTGCAAACCTCGACGTGCATTATGTTCGACGAAGCAATCACAGGACCGCGTACTTTCGTTTAGAAAGTAATATTTTGAAAATTGAAAGAGCCCCGATACTCGTGGAATTGAACAAAATATACGTAAGTGCACCCTTACTCCATAATAAAGAATTGAACTTAGAAATCGACTACAGAATCGAAGAATAAAATATTGGAATATATAAAGTTTGCTTTTCCGTGTCCTCGTGTTTTTTTACGGGCTTTGACGAAACATTTTAATTAAATTGGAACACACCGAAAGAGACGAACAATCACAGACAAGCAATCGATCTCTGTGACGTCGGATTGCCTCTCTATAACTGAACAGTATATCAATCTTACGTTCCCTTGCATGACACGTTTATCTGTGAACTGGTAGATGCTTTTAAGAAGCTAATAACAAATAGATTTTCTAGGTAGTTTGTTGGCGAAGACTCCATTATTAATCGTATCAAAAGAAACATTGGCTCAAATTATTTATAAGTTTTGATGGTCGAGGACATTGGCGTTAATACGAAATATTAAAAATCATGTTGCATTTAACAGTTTACGTGTATCTTGTTTGCTAAAATCAATATTATAAATTTTATTCGTGTTTATTAATATTTGATTTTCGAAAATACGGATCAACAGAATAAAGCATTATTTTCTCACCGTTTTGGAATTAAAATGTGACGTGAAAAATGAATAATATAACATTTTTCATCTGTAGTTTTTATCGATATTTAATACTCGAGCAAATAAATCGAAGCACAAAGTAATATTGATATTAAAACGTGTTTAACAGTTATATTTTTACCAATATTTTCAATATTTACCAAAATTCTTGTCTAAACAGAAATATTTCACGAAACGAAAAGATAAAAGTTCAACCGATTGGACGAATAAATTATTACGCGTTAGTTTGATCGATCATCTGATATTCAAATGAAATTTTACCCAACTGAAGCTTCTTGTTTAGCAAAATTAATGTGTCTAATTAGAAGCGACGATGCGCTATCTTATCCAAGTCCAGCGACTATCTAACATTCAGAGAACAGTCTTGCAACAGAATATCAAACACACTATATTTCAATTTTAGATTGAAGTATACCACGAAACGAGAAAACAAAAACAACACTGTTCAATCGAATAAGTGGCAGGAAAAGATTCGTTTCAATTTTATAAATCATCTTACATTAATTTTGCCTGACAAGGAACTCGATCACAACGAGGAGACAAAAATTAAATTGTTCGATCTGAGAAATGTCCCAAATAAATTATTACTTTATCGACGATTCGATGCTCGAACTTCTTGTCTGACAAAATTGATATATTTATTTAGAGAACGACGCACTACCTTATCCAAGTCCAGCGACTATCTAACATTCAGAGAACAGTCTTGCAACAGAATATCAAACACACTATATTTCAATTTTAGATTGAAGTATACCACGAAACGAGGAAACAAAAACAACACTGTTCAATCGAATAAATGTCAGGAAAAAATTCTTTTCAATTATATAAATCATCTTACATTAATTTTGCCTGACAAGGAACTCGATCACAACGAGGAGACAAAAATTAAATTATTCGATCTGAGAAATGTCCCAAATAAATTATTACTTTATCGACGATTCGATGCTCGAACCTCTTGTCTGACAAAATTGATATATTTATTTAGAGAACGACGCACTACCTTATCCAAGTCCAGTGGCTGTCCAATATCCGGCGAACAAGCATTGCAGCAGAATATCAAACACGCTGTGCAAATCAGCACCGGAAGTGTCTCGCACACGCGCAACATTTTCTGTTCGTCTGTTGCGCGATTCGCGTAGCTCGGTGTTTCGTGACGTTGTGTTCACCGTTGGTCGTTGCAGCGGACTGTTCGGAATATTGAAACCGTAAACGTGGATTCTGACGGGATTCCAGTTCGTTATCTACGACGCATTACTCACCCGGGGTTTGTCGACGTCGACGATGGTGGGCGAGAGCCCCGTGAATCGACAGTCTGTAAACGCGTACTCGTGCTTAAACACCCGTGCCCGTCCTGTTTACCGACTCGTATTTAGGCGGCTGATTGTTCGCGGATCTATAAACCGCGTTTGTCTCCATTTGCAAGCGGGGGTTCTTGAGAATTACGACGCGAAATCGAGCCGCCCGTATCGACGCTGTTCACGTTGAAAATTGGTGATAGGGGAACACCGAATTACGTCACGATACACATAATAACAATAACGAGAAACTGGAGGGAATATTGATCCGAATGTTATTTTCGGAGGGTTCAGTGACACGGTGACGAAGCGGTAGACGATCGGAAGAATGCTAGAAAATATTTTACTTAACGTTAAATCGGAGGATTTCTAAACGAAAATTGTCGAGGATATCTTTTTCTGAAACTAGCAGACTTCATTGTCTATTCAAAATCGTATAATTTTTTGCAAGACTACAATTTTGATTTTAGATTATTGTAAACTACTAAAATTTGTTTCAATACTTATTTTTGTATCCTAAACTTTGATAAATTCACAAACCCTATACAAATTTATTTCCCTCGATGTTTCAACTGGAGATTTCATTTTTCCAGTCCTATAATGGAAAGTGTTAAGTCTTTGACGTACGATTTAATTCCAAATAATTTTTTAAATGCATACTTAATTCTAATACATGTTTAACTTTGTTTAAATTTGTTCGTACAAGAACAGACTTGTTTTAGAAATACCTCGTGAATTTAAAAATATATTGATTTTAATATATGAGACTCGATGACAATCTATTGTACGTCAAGGGGCTAAAAGTCATACAATTGAAAGTAAAATCAGGAACTCTCCAAGTCGAATAATAGTATACCTAAAATGCTTTGAAATATGCACATCAATGAATTTAGAAGGTCGTAAAATTATCCAATACAAAAATAGTAGTTCTTTCGTACCATACGTCGAGTAATTAGTCGAGGAACCAACATTTTTGAAATTGCTTTAACGACACGCAACGAACCAATCAGCAAAAATAGACATTTGGAGTTCAGATAATCTCACGGTTACGGTTGCCGTTTCGTCGAAAAAGAAACATACTATTCTCATTAGGCGCGTGGCTTACGTGTACAAAAACCGTTCCCCATAAATAAAAAACTGTACAAGCTCGGGGTTTCATCAGGATTCGATATCTTTGTAAAGCGAGATTACGCCGCTAATTGAATAAATTTCCGTGGATAAATGCCCCGTTAAAAATGGCACCCTCCCTTTTAAAACGGCATTCTTCGCGACCTCGTGGCCGTAAATCAGGCAGCGCCGGAACTCGTTAAATTAATCTCTTAATCTCCGTTCGCAAAATGATTCTGCAAGATCTCCGGCCTGTTATCTCTCCTCTTTGTTTACCGTGGCGAGCGTAAACCTCGTTTACCCGTCCTCGAATACACTGTTTACATCCTGGCGAAAGTTATACCAGCGACTGCATCGGGTCACGGACGATAATACGGATTTACGGAGGCGCGTACGCCGTAGCGATCCAGTATGGCGTCGGTTCATCGTTCGATTCGGTAACGATAAATGTTTATATAGCCCGACCGACCCGGGGAAACTGTGGCCAAACTATCTAACGAACCTACGCTGAGAATAATAGTCGTTGCTTTCGCAATATTTACACCGATAGCATCGGCTGTTTGCACGGTTGGAGCATTAGCTGCTTCTTGGTGCTTCACGACTATCGAAGAATCGTTTGTTTGTTCAACAGATACACCAGGTTGCTCCTAGTACTGGGTAGTACCGAAATACTTACATAAATGTGTGTAAAAGATCGATGTCTTCATCGTTGGTGCCTTACAATTGCCATTTTATTTATCTTATAAGGGATGATTCTAAATTCGAGAAATTTTAAATATTTGGAACCTTCGGGTATATATATAAAGATGTGTATTATGCAATATTTTGGTTATTTTTACTTTTATACCACAAGGTGGAGATAAAGTTTCTACACAATTACTCCCTCGGTGACCCAACAATTAGTGCCTCATAATTGCCATTTTATTTATCTTATAAGGAATGATTCCCAATTCGAGAAATTTTAAATATTTGGAACCTTCGGGGATATATATAAAGATGTGTATTATGCAATTTTTTGGTTATTTTTACTTTTATACCACAAGGTGGAGATAAAGTGTTTACTCACAATTACTCCCTTGATACTAAATATATTTGATATATAAAATTAATTTGTTAAGAAACGGTAGTAAAAAATCTCCTGAATAAGTATACAGTGGCTATTGTTGGATGACCAATAGGCCAAACATCGATACGTCATCGTCTGTTAGTCACAAGGCTCGTTAGTCACTAGGTCTAAGGGTCCTTCACCCCTACTGTTGCTGAGATCCCCGGGCCGGAGGGCCCAGGGCCTTAGAGTTGCACAAGAAGTCTGCGGGTGTTAACGCCTTGTCCCATCGCAAATTTCGTTATTCTTCATAGTTGAGTTCGGCGTGAGTTCAACGTAAATAAATAAACTCTTATAATACAAAAGGAGCATTACTTGACCACCCGGATTCCAACACTACATTTCGATAAATGGGAACATTTAGTTTTAATTATTTCAAGCAACGACGCAGAAAATAAAACGCGTTTGACGATTCAAAGAAAATTATGGAACGGGATTGCTCGAAGCGATTTTCACATTCTGATAAACTTAATCTCGACGTCGTGGGATTCCCGTGTTCTCGAAGTTTATTGAATCGTTTTGTCGGTCTTTTGTTTTCAGCACGCGATCTTTCTTCGAGGGGCTGTTCGAGCGGACAGCGTTACGGTCCAGTTTAATTTATCTGCCGTCATTATTACGTCGTGATTAAACCGGCCGTCTCGATTGTCCGGGCGATCCTGCTCTACAGGGGTCTGACTTTCGGTTTAATTAAAAAAACGTGATCACCGTTTTCAGAAGTCCCCTGGTTATTCCCTGTCTCGGTCGCGCCTCGGCCTCCGTCGAATCCCTTTCGTGGTTTCCGGATATTTCCAGCAATCAACTGGAAATGTTTTCCTGTTCTCGTCAATTTGTTTTCCCTCGTCGAACGGTCTTAAATCAAGGGAGGAGAAACGTTGCGCGAATCTTGCCAACGCTGCTGTAAAATTGTAAACTTTACGGAACGGTTTTCACACGAGATTCTGGATCATTTTTAATTCAGCGAATCACACAATTTTAAATAATTTCGAGCTCGAAGCGACTCCGGATTTTCAATCATTTTTACTTACAAAATTGTGAATTTATAATTGTTTCAACAGAAATGGTCAGTTAGCAAAATTCGATCAGGGACAGCGTCTGAAATCAAGTTGCGAAAAAGTTGGACAGGAAAACGAAGAAAAAGCAATTACAAGTTTGCCCCGTGGTCGGAAACGATAGTTTCGGGGTTGGAAAATTAGTTTTTGCCCGGTTAAAGGGTTGCTTGGTGAAATGTTGCCGCGTTCGCGTGTTGGGTCGTCCACGCGTCGCGATACGTTGCTCTCCGACATTAATGCCGAGAGAACGATACACGTGTAGAAGGAGCAAGGTTCGTTCTCCAGTCGGAAGATACATTTTCACAGTAAAGTCGACGAAGTCTCTAACAAGGTGACCGCAATCTAGCCGGTACAGCACCCAATTAGCGATGACCCGAACCAGCTCAATTCCAGTGGCCCTTAAAACTATGAAATTAGTTCTCTCGGATGGAGCACGCCCGTTCCCTTGGAATCACCCTTTTCTCCGTTTTCCCACCGAAACGTCGCGGAACTGGCGGACGAAGATCTCGAAAACGCAACACGGTTCATCAAACAGCGATTTTACAATTTCAAATAGGCGATATACCCGGGGTCCTAACCATCGATGAAATAATATTTAACGGACTGTGGGTTATTTGTAAAGCTTTATTATCAAGAGTGAGATTTAATCTAACCCAGACCTAACCCAAACAGCGATTTTACAATTTCAAATAGACGATATTTCCAGTATCCTAAGCATCGATTAAATAATATTTAACGAACTGTGGGTTATTTTTAAAGCTTTATTATCGAGAATAAGTTTTAACTTAACCCAGACCTAACCCAAACAGCGATTTTACAATTTCAAATAGACGATATTCCCGGAGTCCTAAGCATCGTCGAAATAAAATTTAACGATGGGTTGTCTTTAAAGCTTTATTATCGAGAGTGAGATTTCCAGAGGGAGGATTAAACATTTCTTGAAACTCGAAACATTTACATGCACAAAGTGACTAGGAATTACCTATGTTCGCTGACTCGTTAACTTGTCGCTGGGATTCGCTCGATACGTTTCTGTTAACGCGACGTTTAACAAGCACGAAAAGAATCTCGGTGCATGTCTGTGCTTTGCAGCGCTGAAACTGGGAAAACCAGTTTCGCCCTCAGTTCTCGTACAAAGGCATTCCGGGATGAAAAGAGTCGTTAAAACGATCGTCTCTGGGGGGAGGCTGAGTTGTCCGAGGCACGAAACTTTTCCGTACGCTTGGCGTGCTCTGGAAATTTTGCGGTACAATGAAGTAGCGGGGAGCGGCTAGGGGTACAGAGAGAAAGACGGATGTCGTGATTAATGTACAAGGCGGTTCTGTATAATTACTTAATTAAATTCATACATCACGCGATATTAGACGACGAACGTTGCGATTCTGCCCTTTGTAACGACCCCTTTGATACGTGGCTCCTATCTCGATAACGTCCCCTTCGAAACGGTTAGTACGGTCCGGCTACTGACTCATTGATATTGGACCAAGTTTCTAATAGACGGGCATACCAATAACTGATATCGTGGCCTCGGGGCGAACATGATTGTCTCGTG